ATTTTTTTGGACGCAAATGCAATCGGTTTTTCTAATCCGTCCGCATATTTGTGTGACAATATGGCAGAAATTCCATAATCGGATGCGTCACACGCTAAAACAATTTTTTCGTTCGGGTTATAATGCGCCAAAATTCTTGGTGAGATTAGTTCATCTTTTACCCATTCGAACGCTTTTGCACAATCCTCATTCCAATAAAATCTATCACTACCTAGTAAATCGTGTAACGGCTTCAAATTTGCCGATCTATCTTTTAGAAATCTTTCATAGAAAGTTACAAGGCCCAAAAATGAACTAAGCTTTTTTTTATTCTCTGGCCTAGGTGCGTTCAATATTGCGATTACTTTTGACTTTGCTTTATGTAGCCCGTCTTTGTCGATTACGAACCCTAGAATTTCAATGCGTTTTTGGAAAAATTTGCTTTTTTCTAGGTTGACTCTCAGTCCACATTCTGAAAGCCTCTCGCATACCCTTTCTAAATTTGTTTTATGCTCTATTTCCGTTTTACCTGTTACGTAGATATTATCTATGTACGCGATCGCGCTGTCGATCCCCCTTAAACATTCATCCATTTTTCGCTGCACGTCCGCTGGTGCAGGCGATACACCTTCTGGAATATTTTTGTACCTGAACAGGCCCTTGTGCGTTATTATCGTAAGTAAGTGCCTGCTGTCTTTGTCTACTAGAAACTGCATGTAGCAATGCGTTAAATCCAACTCGGAATAGTAATCACCTTCTTTTAAGCATGTGAAAATCTCGTCAATCGTGTGCAACGGGTACTTATCTATGATAATATGCGGATTTACTGTAAGTTTGAAATCGCCGCATATTCTAATGCAACCGTTCTGTTTGAAAACGGGTACAATCGGCGTAGCCCATTCACTAGTTTCCACCGGTTCCAAATGACCAAGTTTTACTAACCGATCAAGTTCCTTTTCGACAAGAGGTTTCAACGCATGTGCTACATTTCTACATTTTGACGCTACGGGACGCGTGTTATCCTTTAGATACAATCTTGTCTCGCTTTTATTGTACCTTCCTGGGGTATCGCTAAATAAATCGCTGTACTTACTCAAAAAATAATTTTTCATATTTTCAACGTCCATTTTATTCACGCTAATTTTACTTTTGCGCTCTAATTTCAATGGCCATAGCCCCAATTTATTTAACCACTGTCGTCCAATCAAGCTCGGACCCGACCCGGGTAACACAAATAAATCGGCTCTAGCTTTTCTGTCATCGAACTCGATCACCAGGTTCTCTAATTTACCGATAGGTTTTAAGATTTTGTTATCATACGTCTTAAGTTCTTTGACCGTTTTTTCGATTTTATATCCATTGAAAAACTCGTTGTGACCTAATTCGGAAATAACCGTCGCGTACGTGCCAGTGTCTACCTCCATCTTTACTCTAATATCGTTCACATTTACATTAAGGAACATCGGTTCCGCATTATCGCGATCACACGCATATCGCACGCACTTACGCTTGTCGTTTAGCTCGATCTTGTGGAAGTCGTCGCGATGCGTTGGTTGCTCCGCTCGCTTCGGAACCTCTCCGTCGTTGAACTTCTTCAATTGTTGTTTGTCTCGTCCGGTTGCATTCTTTCTGCATACCCGCTGAAGATGACCCTTTTTCCCGCAGCTGTTGCATGTCCGGTCTCGATAACGGCAATCTTTCTTTTGATGGTTCGGTTTACCACAACAGTGACATGTTGATGCATCACTCGTTCGATTTCCTTGTCTTGTTGATTTTTGATCGCTATAACTTGGCAGGACGCCTCTTTTCTTCGGCCATGTTTTTTTT